CTTTTTTCTTTCCTGAAGAAAAAGTTTTTCTTACCTTCCCTTCTTCCTTTCCCCCCAGTTTAGCTGTGCTTTTATTTATTGTAATTGCTTCACTTAGGACTCAATCCTGCAGATTCCTCTGTATGTTACCTGTTTGTCAGTGCTTGCCTGAGGGTAATTATATGTGTTTAAGGTGTTCATAGAACTGAGATATTTATTTCTTTTTTCATTTTATTTCATTTTTATTTCATTTTTTATTTTCATTAGGGACTGTAGTGATAGGACAAGGGGTAACGAGTTCAAACAAACAGGGGAAGTTTAGACTGGATATAAGGAGGAAGTTCTTTACTGTGAGGGTGGTGAGGCACTGGAATGGGTTGCCCAAGGAAGTTGTGAATGCTCCATCCTTGGCAGTGTTCAAGGCCAGTTTGGGCAGAGCCTTGGGTGACATGGTTTAGTGTGAGGTGTCCCTGCCCATGGCAGGGGGGTTGGAACTGGATGATCTTAAGGTCCTTTCAACCCTAACTGTTCTATGATTCTAGGATTCTATGATTTTACCCTTAAAAAAGGAAGAGGTTTTATGTATTTTCCCACAGAACAGCAGAGGAAGGTTCAATCCCTGTTCCCCATTGCCCTTAGGAATCAGAGTGGTTCTTGTGTCCCTGAGGGATTCAGCATGTGCTCGGAGAGAAATGTCGACTGTTCTACATTGCCTGTAAAATGACAGCAGCAACCAAAAAAACCCACCCCCTCCCAGTTCAAGGAGTCTGCACTAATCCGTTCGGTGAGCTTGGCTACTGGGATATTACAGCCCTTGTACTGAGATGGTGGGAGAGTTTCAGGAAACCCTTGTTGTTCCTGGGGATAAATCTTGGGGACTAAGCTCTTGAGGCTTGACCCCAACCCCCTTAAAATGGATGAAATGTCTCCCAGTGAGTTTAGTGGGTTTTCTCAGCCAAGGCCCACTGGTGTGTTTGGATAGGATCATCATGGCTGTGCTTTTGCATACTAGCAACATGTGAAGTTGTGGCCTCATCATGAGAAAAGACCTGGAGAAAGCCTGCAGAAAGTGGTGGCCTTCAGTTACTGCTCATCTTTGCTGTTTCTTAATGGGTAGACATGATGGCAACAGCTAGCTTTATCCAGGGTTGAACAGTTTGGGAATGCCTCATCTGGCCAGTATCTTGTCTGCATATGCCAGTGCTAACACAGAGCAAGTTTCCCACATCTGCTGCAGTGATGTATGTTTCTTTTCAGTACCGTGCTTCAAATTCAGAAGTGTGATTCAGAAGTGTAATCCAGATAACACAGATCAGTGTCAGATACCAAGCCACAGTCCTTTGCATACTATGTGTCTGCGTTGTGGGAATCAGTTCTGCTGCTCCCTCCCCTGCTTTCTTTGTTCCTTTGCTACCAGGGACATGGTTCTGGTGGCACAGCCCCTCACACAGGCTGACCCATTGGCAGGAAGCAAGCTTTTCCCCTCTTCAGCATCTCACACTTTTTATTGGTTAGGGACATGTATAGAGTGTAGCAGTTACAGTTGCTGAATCTAACTAAGGATGTTAAGATTTCTCATGTTTGCCTCTTGGCCCTTTTGGAATGGTTTCCTTTTTCCTATTGGAAAACTCTTAAGTATATTGATCTCAAGAGGCATATGAAACAGCGTCAATGATGTCAAGAGCATCTGATTCAGGCAATCCTGATACAGAGATGCCTGAGTTTTCTCTGAATATATGTAACATTCACTGGTTGGATATCTGGAAATACCTGAGAGCTTGGAGAAACCCAGGCAGAGCAAAAGGTCAAAGAAGATTAAGCAGGAATCCAGAAGCAACAGAGTGTGAGGAAGATACAAATACAGATAGGCAGTGATAGCAGCCCTCTGCCACTGCAGCATAAATCAGTGATTTGGAAAGCACATAATACCATTGCTAACAAAGAGGAAGAGATCTTGCTTTAGAAATAGAAGTGAGAAAGATTCCTCCTACAGCAGGCACACAAAGTTTTCATCTTCCCACTCACACCACTGCTCCAACAGTATGCAGCCCTGTTTGCATCCTGACAATCTGCATCCCGAGTTGAGTGAGTCTGGGAAGACTGGAAGTTGCAGTAGGGGAAAGTGTGGGATGGGTCTCGAAACAGTCCTTGCCCTCTTAGCTTGAGCCCTAGGTTTTGCCTGTGCTGGGGATAGGGCGGGGAGGGGGGGGAAAGGAGGAGTTTATAAAGAGATTATTGAAAATAATAAATAAGAATTGTCAGTGTCTGCTTATTGGATAAGTAGCTTAAACATCCTTAACCAAGGCAGCTGTAACCTAAGCAGCCAAAGTCCACTTGAGCTGGGGCTGATTTTAGCCCATTGTCTCCTCTTCACACCCACAGTACAAATAGAAGCTGCAGCTCCTTAGGGCTGGGTGGGAGGGAGGAGGCAGGAAAGCCTCTGGAGTGTGGTGTTGCATTGACAGTTGATGTGCATTGCTTGAAAACTCTGCTTCTCATCACTTCTGGATGACAGCTCATAGGGAAACAGGGTGCAGTTGTTAGGAGTGGGACATTATGATGAGTAAGATCTTTATTGGAGAGTTATGGAACAGTGCTGACTTCTGAGTAAGGGATGGGGAAGAAGCAGTGTTACTCTGAAAGCTGGGCTGGAATCCTCACAAACTAAAGTCTTTGGCAGGAATTACATTAACTGGGGTCATTTTAATTCAGAATGATGTTTACTTTCAGCTGCTCTATAAATAACTTAGGCCTGTGTCCCTCTGGAGTAGAAACAGCAGAGTAGACTGAAGGGCTTCTGCTATTGGTTAAATCTGGCACATAAACTATATGAAAGCAATTCATCTTTGCTACTTGAATAACAATATTTTTATTGCACTTTCCTCCAGAAGGAAGCTGTGGACATTTGTAAGTGGTGTACAAGAGTCTTCTCATCCTCAGTCAACAGCAGCTAGCTCTGTGAAAGAGCCAACTTGCTGTTTAGCACTGCAAGCTTGCAGTTTGGAATGATGTAAAGCAAATAACAAAGAGTATGAAAGGGTTGTTTAAACATGCAGAAGTATTTATGAAACTGGGGTTTACTTAGAGCTAGTCACATCTCTGGAGTTGCAGTAAGTGCAACAGAGTCTTCATGATTTCCACACATCCAGGATCTTTTTTGGATGCTTCCCCTCACTGGTGCAGTATGTTTTCAAAAGTATTACTGCTGCATGGGCAATTACATCAGACCAAGAGTGACTTCATTTCAGCTTAAATGGCGTTCAAAACCAAAGTGAAATACGAAGAAGCGATCTTATTTCAGAATAAGTATGCTCATAGAACATAGAATAGTTTGGGTTGGAAAGGCCTTTGGGATCATCCAGTTCCAACCGCCTGCCATGGGCAGGGATGCCTCACCCTAGACCATGTCACCCAAGGCTCTGTCCAACCTGGCCTTGAACACCACCAGGGATGGCGCATTCACAACTTCCCTAGGCAACCCATTCCAGTGCCTCACCACCCTAACAGTAAATTATATTGTTATGTCAGTTTAATTTGCATATAATTTAAAACTTTTTTGTGAAGAGAAATCCTTGAAAGAAAGATCTCTTGTGCCTGTGAGTGCACATATCCTTGTGATACACTCTAAGTTAGCTGCAGGGTTTTGCCCTCCCAGTGACCAGCATTACTAGAGGATACCTTATAAGAAATGTAGTACAAGTGACCCAGTATGGGGAAGGGTGGCCAGGTCACAGTGTAATCTGGAGAGCTGCATTTTGCCTGTGTATCATTGCCTGCAATTTCACCATTTGTTACTTTTCTACTTCTGTAGAAGTAGTAGAAGACAATAAAAATCAGGTGTCCTAAGCACCTCAATCATCGATCGTATCAATACACATGTTAGAGAAGACATGGTGGTTTTAAATGTTGATTTTTCAGGTGACCTAAACTTGTTTTGAGTGAAATCAGTGCCTTCCATTGATCTTGGTGAATGCCAGTTAGTTAGACTGTTGATAACCACTTCTGTAAACACAGCCTAATCCCCAGCTATACTTGATCCCAGTAGAAAACCCCTCAGTGCTAAATTGTCATGCACAAGTATTGTGCAGCCCCGTTACTTTCTCCAGCAAGGTATCGTGTTCTAGTGTCAGAAGAAAGGAGCTACTGGCCTTGTTTGTAGGGCACTTTGGGACCCCGCACTGTGTGACACCCATGCTGTTGGGCTGTGGCTCTCTCCCACCCGGGTTTCAGTTCCAGAGCACAAGACTTCTTTACTTTCTATGTTTCTTTCTCCTTTCTGCCACTGTGGCAGAGGGCTCGGTGCTGTTTGTGAGCAGCTGCTCTGTTTCCCTGTCTGCCCACAGCGGTACCCGCACAGCTGCACTGTGTGGCAGCCAAAGATACCCACAGCAGTGCCCAGCTCTGTTAAAGAGTAACGAGGCTGGGAAAGAGGGGAGGGAGCAGGAAAATCCCTGACCTAGGGTAGATTCTGCAGCACACTGTAGAATCGGTGTCAATGGGTGCTGAGGGACCTCCGTGTCCAGCTAGAGATGCAGTTTCTATGTGTCTGTCACAGTAAGAGTCACTTGCTGACTGGGAGAAAGCTGTTCATCACAGGGTGATGCTGAAGTTCCCTGGGAAAGGAAGTGCTGCTGGCAGTGGCAAACAGCTTGTGTTCATGTCTCATGGAAACTTAAATGTGTGTAAGCGTGTGTTCAGCGTCTGCTGCCCACATACTGTGTGACTCAGAGAGGGTCAGGTGTGGCTCAGAACAGGCCTGTGACGTGCAGTATGATGGGGTTTTTATTTCTTGCAGGCAGCTTTCTTGTGGATGGTAGGACATTATGTGTGTGTTTGTCCAGTCTTGGGTTTGTGTGTGTATTTTTCCAACAAGGATCATTGTGTCTGTTTTCTGGTTCCACCTTTGAGCGCGTACAAATGAGAAGGAACAATTCAATATGCGTGGAGGTATGTGGCAGGTTTGGGATATGTCAGGGTTTCAGATTTTGCTCAATTTAATGTTTCTTTCCTTTGTATTCCAGAAAAAAGCATGGCATACAATTAAAACCATGGTTAACTTACCAGTCATCAGCCCCTTCAAGAAACGCTACTCGTGGGTGCAACTGGCTGGGCATACAGGTGAGACCCGTGTTTTCAGTGTGATTGTCTTTGGAGTGGGGATGGCAACAGCAAAGAAAACAGTGTTTCAGTGTTACCTCTGTCTCCATCCTTCAAGGAAAAGGAAGGAGGAAGTATCACTTAAATCTGTGAACCAGAACATCTTTCTTTCGGTTGTGGTGGGGATAGGGAAGAATGAATAAAGAGAGGAGCAGGGAAGCAATGGTCAAGCTCTACGGAAGAGCCAGGCTCCCCATGCATCCTTGTAAGCTAGTATTTGTTAGAGGGTAAGCAAGAGGGACTGGGGAGCTGGTCCATCTGTTGCTGTTGGTTGTGGTATGGGATCATCTTTCTTGACTGAGTAGCCAGTGTTAGTTCCCTGGTGGGAAGGATCACTGTCTGTGCCTGTATGTGCTTCATCACTGGTAAGGACGGTGTTTCTAATACTAATCTCAAACCCTCTCATCTGAAAGTAAGCCCTTGGGTGGAAAACAAATCTGGTGCAAATTGACTTGCTGACCAGGTGTTTGCATTGTGATCCTGTCATTGTTCACTGTATGCATATGAGGAGCAGCACAGTCCCTGGTTCTATGTTGTAATTGTGATCCTAATGTCAGCTTTGTTTCATTGGTAAGGGAAAAAAACAACAAAGAGAAGTCGTCAGCTTTGCTTCTCTTGTGCTTCATTTAATTCCTATGCAGCCTGTGCTCCTGAAGTGCTAGTGTGGGGTTTATTAGTACACATGTGGGCAGGCACCTACGCTGCATCGTGCTGTAATGCAGTACCTGAGCCACCTCTTTATTATGCTAATGCACTAATATGGTGCACTTCAAAGCTGTGCAGAGAAGTTTATTTAGTCCTAGTAAACGAGTAGCTGCATTTTGCACAATGGTATTGGTGGGACTGGCTTGTATCATGCAGAGTGCCAAGGTGAACGACTACTCTTACTGCAGTTTTTATCACTCTGTGTGCAGGGTTGGCTTGATCTATGTGGAGCGATGCACTGGACATGTAATAGTAACTCTTCTGGAGGCTGGTGTAGTAGGGTGGAAGAGGAGGGTTAAGAGGTTATGAGATGCTGACGAGGAGGGATACTGCTCCAGTTTCCTTTAAATAGTTTTCTGTGGTTGCATTTAGTCCTTCCTTTTTGCAGCTGTTTTCCCCTGATATGACAAGTTCTTTCTAAACTAAAACCTGGGCCATCGCCACGCTCGCCCTTGTGCTGAGGCAATGCCAGTTCTAGGATTTGTCAGAGAAGAGCCAGTTTGCTATGGCTGAAGGATCCTGCTGTGATAGAAGTTGAGCAGTAGCCCCAGGATTAAGGAAGCTCCTGCTTTGGCACCTATGTTATGTCATGTAGATTTAAGGGTAGCTTCCTCAGATATCATTGTCAGGTTGCGGGACAGAAGAGCATCTCTACAGTAGAATTAGCTGGAGTCTAATTACTGCCTTGGCCTGAGCAGGCTGTCATTTGTACTGGATACCATTCAGACACAGGGTTGTAAAAAGCCAATTGCCCCACAGGGTGTACCTGCGGTGTAGCCAGGCTCAGAGAAGAAGCAGTACCCAGGAGGTACATGGATGTGCAGTCGTGTGTGTAGGAAGGGCAGTGCTTGGCTTCTGGCCTGTTCGGGGCTGTGGGACGATCGCTGTGTGACTGTACTGCCTTGGTATGTACATGCTCACAGGTGTACCCTCTGTGAGGATTAGGGACAAAGCCAGCACTGGTGGTGTTATGCAGCTTTAAAAAAGCCTGTCAGAGGATTAATGAATTCTGGCTCGTGGCTTCTTCCTGTTCATTTTAGTAAGCAGAGTCGTGTTTAATATCCTAACAAAGACTTTAGCATGGGAAAAAAAAATAGATGGCCTGGAGCAGCTGCACTCCTTAAAGCTATGAATTCTGACATGGGAATGTATCCAAATAGACTTTCACTGCCAGTGGCTGTGTTTGTCCTAGGTGTTTCATTTTTAATGAAAAGCGTGCTGTCTCTGCTGGTCAGGGGAGATCTGTAACTGGTGTCATGAGGTGGGTGAAGCTGGGGGGGTGGGGGAAGGTGCTTTTCTGGTTTTGCTGGGCAGTCTTGTCAGCGTGTGTCTGGTTTTCTCTTTCAGGGAGTTTCAAGGCAGCTGATAGCGGGAAGATACTCAAGCGCTTCTCAGAGAATGAAAAGGAGTGTTTTGAGCGACTGATGAAAGACCCGCTCCGCGCCTGCGTCCCTTGCTTCCATGGTGTGGTGGAGAGAGATGGAGAGAGCTACATTCAGCTGGATGACTTGCTTACTGATTTTGAAGGGCCTTCTGTGATGGACTGCAAGATGGGGATCAGGTGAGGTCCCTGAAAGAAAAAGTGCTTTCTAACCCAAATGCATTTGAGGGAAGTGGGTGAAGAGATGTGGTTATGCTCTGTCTGGAGGAGTTTGGTAACATTTTTGGAGCCTTGGGTTTCAGTGCAGACAACACTTTGCACAACCTGAGGAGGGTATCTCCTAGTGTTCCCTGATGGTACATGGATTTTGGAAACTAACTCATCTGCGGCCTGAAAAGCTTTCCACATCAAGACGTTTTCAGGGGCGATTTAAGACAAAGTTTCTCTGCAGTGGCCTGATAATACATGGGGAAAATAATTACACGGTTCATTCATTGCCAGTTCATTTAACCTTTGTGTATGCAATGATTCAAAACTCAAACACAAAGAGTAAAACCCCCATCTCCAAATGTAAAATGACTGAATAGCACTGTGAAAGCTCATTTCCAATGCTTGAATGAGTCTTCACTGGTATTGATCTTTTCTGTAAACAAAAGGGTTGGCCATCTGCTCACGACTGACCTGTGTTTTTTCCCTGCTCTGACATCTCTACAATGCTGCCACCTTGTTCACTTTTCTTTTCCTTCTCCTGGCTGTGATGAAGAGAAAAAGCTCAAAAAAACCTAAGCATAACAAACAGATAAGGGATCTGCTGACAGTCTGGAGTAACAGTACAGAGAAGTATGAACTGTCATAGTGATTCTTTGCGTGCCAGCTCAGATGCTCAGGAGTTATTGTCATACATGAGCTATTCAGCTTACAGGAGTGCAAACAAGCCTTTTCAAAGAATGCAGAATCTTAAATCAGAGTAGTAATGCGTAGCACTGGTATGCGCAGAGTAAAGAGGAGAAGGATTTGCAGCAGTGCACATTTTATTCGAGTAGATGACGTTCTGGTAATGACTGACAGCATCTCCTAACCACCACCCTGGGTGTTACACTGGGATGTTGAAAGTACACTCCAGGCACCTGACAAAGTGCAACCTTTAGAAGACCCCTGGAATGTAGAGAACATAGATAGTGCCTTTCTAATGGTTACCAGTTTAACAGGTTGAGTGATAACAGCAAAATAAGGAAGGTTTGTCACCCTTCACCTCCCTGTTCTTAGTTACCTCTTCTGTTTTGGAACTCCTCAGATAATCTGCTTTACTCTTTTTTGCTATATGAAAAGCGATTCTGTCTTTCACTGTGATGCATTAGGTAAAACCTTAACTGCTTTCTGAAGCCTAAAAAAATCACATGTGATTGATGTTAGGGTGTTTTTTTGAGGAGAGAGAAGACAGGAAGGCTTCAGCAGCTCTGTTTGCTTTTGATTTCATTGTAAGTCCCCTGGAAGGACAGTTTCTGTTTCATGGCACAGTAGGAATTCAGCTTTCTCCCATTCTGTAAGCAGGAGTTATTGGTAACATATAATAGTAAGTAAAGGTATAGTTAGAACAAGAAGAGAATGACACAATTCCCATGGCCTACACAGTCATTTTTCTCTATTCTTAACTTCCCCATATGCACAGCTGAAGGAATGATAACACTTACTTGGTTGCCATTTCTTGAGGCCAGTTTGTAAGTTGTAGAAAGAAATATTTGGAGAGTCCTTACAGTTCTGTTGGGGTGTGATGTTTTTGCAGGACATACCTGGAGGAAGAGCTGACTAAGGCCCGTGAGAAACCAAAGCTGCGTAAAGACATGTACAAGAAAATGATTGAAGTGGATCCTCTTGCTCCCACAGCTGAAGAGAATGCTCAGCATGCTGTCACCAAACCCCGATACATGCAGTGGAGGGAAACCATCAGCTCTAGTGCCAACCTGGGCTTCAGGATTGAAGGGATTAAGGTAATAGTTTCACTTCTGCCTGTTCTTGGAGACCAAACTTTGATTTGTTGATCAATCAAAAACCCAGTGTGCATCAGTAGCCAGGTCTTCCAGAGGATTATGTGAAAATGCACTAATTGAAAACACAGACTTTAGTGTGTTGTGGCTTTAAAACACTCATTGTAATTATAACAGAGTAGTGTCAATGAAGTTAAGGATCAAGTACACATCAGCTGTACTTGATTCAACCACAGGAACATTGCAGGAAGGACTCGGGCAAGTACACAGTATAGATAGAATGAGAATGAGACTGTTATAAAGAACTTAGAACTGAAGAAATAACCACCCCCCCATGAAATTACTTTTTTATCCAGGAACTCTACATATTTATTGCAAGTGAGTCACAGTAAAGTGTTTTTGTTCCAGTTATGTTTATTTGCAAGGCATGTTAAAATCATTAGCTTAGATAGTCTTGGGATCAAGGAAGCCCCTTTGCCTTTTAAGTACATGATGGTATCTGGTGTAGATGGGGCTGGAGAAAAGCCAAAACAACCAAAAATAAAACTTCTCCTTCAACAAAGTCCATCTCCTATTCATGATGGATAAGTTTGTTCCCTTATACCATTCCTAGGATATACCTTATAGCCACAGAAGAACCTTGGCAATTTTCTTTCCTACCTATTAATTCTTTGTATTTGTTGCGCTCTGTAGCAATGTCAGGTACCTACCTGGAAGCCCATAGGACCTACTGTCAGCATATCAGCCATCTGGCTCAGTCACTTGCATGTGAACACTTGTTGGATCCAGAAGTGAACTTCCTCCTTGTGTAGGCCTGTCACAGCTAGCCTGGGGTAAGGATAATGCTGTACTTGTAGCAGCATAGGGCACAGGGAAGGCTGCCCAACCCACCCACATGCTACCTGCAGCCCATGATGGGACAGCTATGAAGTTAGCGTGGGTTGCCCTGTGTGATTTCAGGATGTTCCTGGAGCATGAATGTTTAATGTGGGTATGTTAGTCCATTTAAATTATAATCTACATTAGTTTTGCTTCCATTTAATAGTTCAAACACACAGGAAGAAGAAAGGGATTAAAGAAGGTGATGCTGATGAGCAGAGGATCTTTAAACACCCCTTTCTTCTCTGCTTCTCTGTGTTGTCTTCTCCCTTCCTTATTCACAGATTCTCCTGTTGTGATACAGGAACTAGGGTTTCCATCTCATGCTGTGCTGGCCCCCAGTACGCTGCACCACCCACTCCTTACTGTTAGATACAGGCATCCTCATGCAGGAACTGTCTGGGTGGCAGATGATCTGGCTCCAATCCAGCCAAGGCACTTCTTTCATTACTCTTTAGCCACCTAATGATGTTATCCAGATACCTGTTTTATTCCTATACTATTTAGGGCTTTTGATGCTCTGTGTAATGGCATCAGAAACCCAGATGATCTTGAGACCTTTTATATATGTTCTTAGAAAGATAGTTGGTCAGTGTGGAAGATGTACAGGTTTATGCTGAGTCCTGGAGAGTGACTGAGCTAAGGGAGCACAGGGAAGCTCCAATAAAACCTCCTGGCTTGTTCTTGGTGAGTCAGTTGATTATCACAGGTGGGTAGGAACAGTGTGTTCCATAGACTGCATGGTGTTTTCCTGTGTTGAGACAAAGCTGTAACTATGCAAAGCAGGACACACATACTTAATCCTTGATCAAGCATAAGGAATGGCTTGGAGTACTGCAGAACATTACCTTCTCCTCTGTCTCCCTGTGCTGTTACAAGGGATGCAGGTATTATTCTCTTATTTGTTTACATGGACAAATGGTGACAGAAAGTGAGTTGCTGAAGTAATGCAGCTGGTCAGTACTCCCTGCACTGTTTCACTGTAGCTGAACTGTACGTCCAGTTCTGTTTATTCGCAGAAAAGCGAAGCCATGCAGAGATCCCAGTTTTGAGAGGAGAGCCTATAAGGATCAGTGGTGCCAGCTAGTGGTTGATGGGGAAAAAGGGTTTGTTCTCCTTGAGTGCACTGGGAACTCCTGCAGGATACTGAGCAGATTTGTTGGGTTTGGTCATTCAGAAATATTCCTGCCCTGTGGCTGCTGGAGTAGGAAGTGGAAGTAAAGAAAATGAAATCATAGAAGCCCTCCTGTGAAGTGGCTGCCAATAAATGAGATCTGATTCACTATATGCAAGCCTTCTTCATCAGCACGGTACCTTTTCTCTTTAGGCTGATTCATTGCTTTGCCTTGCCTTGCTTCCATGTCTCTGAAATCAAGTCAGGTTCATATATGGGATTTTATACTTTTACCAAAAATAGTTTGAACCATTAGGTTTCCTTACAGCTGGCACCTGAGATTTGGCCTCTTGTGCTTGCAGGTTCAGAATGCAGGTTTCCTCTCTAGAAGGGGCTGACTGAAGGTGACAGACATTGACAAGGTCACAAACATTGTCTCTATGCCACTAAGCTAATAGACACTAAGCTAATATCTGCAGAACAGATATGCATGAGAACCAGGAGTTCTGGCTTTCCAATCTGTCACTGAATCTCTGTACAGTTTGGGAAATTAAGTCTTCCTTTGGTACCATTCCTTCAACTGTAGATCAGGGATATCCATTTTCCCAGGAGAACATCAGAATTGACTCATAAATCTTTGTGAACCTATGTAAGTCACGACCTTAACCCAGAGCCTGTAAGGGAAGTCTGCAGAGGAATCTGAGCAAGACCATAGAGGTTAAGATAGGTAGGACTATAGGTATAGGTAGGCTGCCAAAGCTGCCCTCCTGCTAGCTATGTCACTGTCACATCTAATGAGAAGTGCTGCAAGCATCCCACTGTCTGCACTGTGTAGCAGCCTGCTCTGCTGTGCAGGAATGTCTTTGGAGGCCTTGGCAAAGGTGTGGCTTCAAAGAGTGAGTCAGGCAAGAGCCTCCTGGGGATCGGGTACATCCAGAGCTGTTGCAAGGACCTGGTACGGAATACAAAGGTTGATGCCATTCAGAATCTGGGTGTTGTTTACAGCAGTAGACAGGCAGCAGTTGTGTTTCCTGCCAACCACTGCAAAGGAAGGAAATCATAAAAGCGCTTCTAAACAACAGGGAAGCAAGCAGCCAGTCTGTCCAGACATAAAAGGATCAAAAGGGAACACACAGCAGCTATTCCAGACTGTGCTCTGGTATTTGAGGCTCAGGGAGAAATGATTTTCTCAGACAACCTTACTCAAGAGGTAATAGGCATCAGACCAAGTTCCAAATTTCTATGTGCTGTTGAGCATTATCATACCTCAGATCAGATGGCTCCCAACTTTCACTGCCTACCTGCTGAACTTCCCTTGCATAACTTGCACATCTCATCAGGCTGACATGCCACACTTGTATCTGGCCCACAGCCTTGGAATAAAACTCTGTTTATTCTGCTGCTAGAAAGTCTGGTAGGTGGGAGGCTGTTCTGCATGGCTTTGCCATTCAGTCAGTTCATTCCCTTGCATGATAAATCTGCAAATTTAGCATGCTTGGATTTTTTTGGGGTATATACTAGGAGTTGAGCTCTGCTGTGGAGTAAATAGTCTTTCACCTGCTGAGACTGGAGCTGAATTGAACCAGTGCTGGTGCAGTCACTTCTAACACGTAGGAGGGAACACATTTGCATGACCTGTTGATTTACTCTTACAATGAAAATAAGAGATGTCATTGGACTGATACAGTAGGAGGAATACAGTTTGATAATCTTGCAGGCTCTTTGTGGATACAGGCTATCAGCTGCAGTACTTGCTGTATTTTACATGTGTGTCCTAAAAGCTTGTATTTGCGTCTCTTTAATCACCGGGGATGTTCTTGGGGAAATGCATATTCATGTAGTCTGTGTTGACAGCTCTTATTTACTTGTAGCTCCACAAGCACAAACTGGTCACTGCTAGTATGGAAAAAGACTGTTTTTTCAGTAGCAGGGTGCTTTGTACTGAGCCTTACTGCTAGTACAAATACACTCTGAATTTCTCCAGGACCCGCGTGGATAAGAGCAAGCCTGCACTGTCCTTTGGCAAAGCTCTCACACGTGTGCTTTGTCACTGCTAGCACTGCAAATCCCAAGTTGTCCCTGTCTGCAGCTAGCTTTCTGTTCTGTGACTTCTGGGTCACATTCATGTGCAAAGGTATATTGGGAATTGAGTCTTAACCATGATTCTTTGATTTCCCTATTGAAAAACAAAACCAGAAAAAAACCCCAACACCCAAACAGAAAGGACTGGTAAAACTGGGCTTGAAAATGTCCCGTTGCATCCCCAGCTGGGGTTTGACTGTACCAAGTGAGATGAGAGGACAACCAAGGAGGTCACTGTGGTTTTCCCCATTGAACTTTGCACTGCTCTTACTGACACGTGAGGAAACCCTTCTGCAGGCTGGTAATAGCATGATTTGGTTTTTAACTGCACTCAACAGGAAATGAATTGCCATTTAAAGCTGGCCAATCAGCTCGTGTGGCTTTTCTCCTCCACTTCTTGCTTGGTTTTATCTGCTCTCTTCCTGTGCAACTACTCACTTTGATGTGGTTAGCAAGAGCTGAGCTGTTGATGGTTCAGGAGGATCGACTGATGAGGGGAATGATACGTGTGTAGTAGAAATCATCTCTGTGTGGTTTTGTGCAGAAGGCGGATGGAACATGTAACACAAACTTCAAAACTACGAAGACACAGGAGCAAGTTCTCCAGGTTTTTGTGGAATTCATTGAGGGCAACACAACTATTCTGGTGAGTCTGAACTCTTCATGTTCACTGTTCTTTGACCCAATGAACTTGCTTCAGGGCCATGTTTCCTCTGGTACAAGAAAATGAATTAAACTACCAAGGAAGAAAGTGGTTTTGACTTCCAGTCCCTCTAAGCAGGTGGAGTGGACATGGGAACTTGGTGGGCTGTGGGAAGTAGTTGGCTGAGACCAATTCTGTCAGCCCTTGCCAGGAGTTCACCCCAAGCTCCTCATGCTGGTAAAAGATCAGTCAAGCTAACTTATGGCTTGCCATCAGTTAGATGGTATTAGATGAGTCTTAGATGCATCAGAGGGATGATGATGTCTACGCAAGGATTGTGTTGGCAGGGAGGAAAATTCATGATTTGGGAATTCAGTCTGGAGAGGATGAAACCAAAGCATGGGGGCAGGAAGTGAGATTGGTGGCTGGCTGGGCTCCTATGTGAGAGACTTGCCTTGAAGAGCGATTCCTGTGTGCTACTTCACAAGGAGCGCAGCAGGCATATGGTAGATGGCATAATGTGTCTCTTGTCTTTGGAACTTCAAAGGAGCCCACAGTGCTTTGCTGCAATGTAGAAGCTATGATGAAGGCATGTCAGCCCTGCAGGAGGAGCATGCATTAAAAATGTACACTAGAGCTTTATGCATTAGGCCTTGTTTTTTTATTTATTCCTCCCTCCCTCCCCTGGTTGGGGCTCCTCTTTGTAACACCATTTCATTCTCTTTTCACTGTGGAGAATGCAAAGATTTCAAGTGTTTGGGACTATTTTCTCTTTTTTTATTAAAGACTGGGGAAAGAAAGGATGCAGAAAATGTCACTGCATCCAGAGCAAGAGAGGTGAGTGTGCTCCATGTAACACGTACAGCAGAGGAACTCCAGCCTGTTCATTCACTATGAAAGCGTCTTAAAGTGTATTTTCAGATTGACTTTGAATGAAGTTACTCTGTTTGCAAGAGCCAGTATAATGAAGAGCTCATGTTATTTTTAGGCTAGAGGTCCTTCAAAACAACAAGTTCATCATTTCAATCTTTACTTAAATGTTTATGGGTTTTTTTTTTTTTGCCTTCTTTTCCTCCAGAACAAATACCTCAAGCGTCTGCAGGAAATTCATATCATTCTTGAATCCTCAGACTTCTTCAAGCGACATGAGGTAAGAAGTGGGTATAACACTATGGAGGTGAATTGCTGCTTTGTTTGGTCATTCAGATGTACTTCAGAGTACAGCTGTGTTACTAGAAAGGAGTTTGTAGTAGAAGACAACTAATGTATGTTAACAGCACAGATACCACAAAGACTCCATCACAATGATACAGAAGATTTAAACCAGTTGAGGGATGATGTAAATCCTTACATCTTTATAGAATCCCAGCACTTATAGCTCTGGGCCACTGCAGGTAACAGTTCATTAGTATCAGTTTCCTGTGGTTTCTCTGATCTTGATGTGTTCTAGTGGGAATCTTTACAGGGGAATAGTAATATGGAAGCTTGCCTTTGGTACAGTAGCATTCAGTTGGTGTTTGACAATGCTTTATTAGTTATACTGGGTTTATGTTGAAATACTGTATGATGAGTCTGCTCTGTATCTTCTGCTTATATGCTTTGCTATGAAAAAGACCTTACTAGCATTGTACATTCTGCTTGTTACAGCTCAAGATTTTGAGATCAGACATTTCATTTTACCTTGTTGATTTCCTCTTGTCACTAATGGCAATTTTGTTCACCGTGGGCCATGGTCTGTCTTTGAAAGTAGACACTGGATATTGCTGAATAGCTCAAACAGAGACCTACTGCCAGCTGAGCTGGAGAATTGCTTTTCTTTCCATTGTCTGCTGGGTCCCTTTGCTCATCCACACATCACTGATTGATATGGTTATGCAAATGGAGCATGTAAATTGTCAGTGTGTAAATGAAGCACAAAAGTCTGTTGGGTCACAGATTAGAAGGTCATCTGAGGAGGTAATTTTCTTAGTGGGAAGTGTTAAGTGATGAGGAAGAGTTACAGATGTGTTCTCAACCACATCATTTCAATCTGTCTTCCAGGTCGTTGGAAGTTCACTACTTTTTGTACATGATGGCAGTGGGAATGCCAATGTGTGGCTGATTGATTTTGGAAAGACCACCCTTCTCCCTGATGGGCAGACACTGGATCACAGGATCCCCTGGGAAGAAGGCAACAGGGAGGATGGGTACTTGTTGGGGTTGGACAATTTGATTGGCATCTTGGAAAGCATTACTGAGAGATGAGTTGAGAATGACACAAAACTTGCAGGGCTTCTCTGTGACTTTCTGCTTTACTGGATCACTCAGTCTGAAGGAAACCTTTAACTCCCTCCAAACTCCCGAGGTCATCAGTGCAGAGGGAGCTGCTTCCAGAACCCAGCAGCTGGTGACCAAAATGACTTTGCATCGGCCCTCTATGAACCTGAATAACTCCAGATTGGTTTGCATTGCACCAGCCTAACTTCAGACTGGTCCTCAGAGAATGAAGATCTCCATGCTCAGGAATCACTCCAGCATGAGTCAAGAGGTCTGTATGGTAAACCAGAATGATTCTGTTTTCTGGCAAACCAATGGGACTCCAGATTTTGCCTCTTAGTGAACCAGAGCAAGTGCTTGGAGATTCAGGGTAGGAATAACAGTTTTTCAGGGAACTGCGTAGTTTTGAAACCAGCAAAAGTTGGGGTTGTTTTTTTTCCCTCTGATTCCAAGCCTCCTTTCTCCTGTGTACACTATAGGTTGGACCAACAACTTCTGTATTGTGTTACAGTGTGCACAAGGTGGAAATGGGTGATAATCACAAGAAACCTGGAGCAAAGGGAGACAGCAGTTTGTAGTGCCTGCATGTGACTTCTGTGTCTATTCCTCCTCCTCCCTACCCTAGCCTCTATTCACTTCGACCCGGGAACAGCCTTTGCTTTCTATGTAGCCTCTCAGGAGATTACAGATACTTTAGGGAGAGAACAGCAGCCTATTGTCTCCACAAACATTTGACTTTGAGGCTGGGTGAGCTGTTGGAAAAGTTCCTAGCTTGGCAGATTTGGCCTCTTGCAGCTGAACTGCAGCTCTGAAAATCAGTAGTGGCTCTCACACACAGCCCAGGGATCTAAGGGCTTTTTCCAAGGCTTGTTTATTTCTAGAGATAAACCCCTTATACCCGTGCACATACAAGCATGCACTGGTAGCCAGCAACCGATGTGGTCTTTTAAGATCATGGTTTGACTGTCTCCTACTGCGTGTGACTTCTTAGCCATATAATATGATGCTTCCAGTTAATTGTATAGACTGGCACACTGATCATCTTTCTGTGTTCACAGTGCTACACTAACGATGAGAGAATTCCCAGGCATCCTTCCTCCCAGGTATCAGCTGTTAACTCAGGGCAGTTTCGGGGAAGGAATGTCAATGTATCACATCCCCTAGTCCCCATCTGGAACTGCGGAGCCATCTGTGGTTCATCCTTCTTTTGCTGTGGCCTGAGCACAACCACAGAAGATTCACAGCATTAAAGTCAAGAAAGTGATTTTTTTTTTTTAGTGGCTTCACATACCTGCTCTGATGGTTGCCTCTGATCACTTAAACAGTTCTTTAAATGCTAGCAGTAAAATACTATCAGTAGTCACATGTTCACTTGCATTCCAGGTTTTAACATTAATAACATGATGGTGCAGTTTTCAAACTGAGGACACAACTTGTATTACTTGATTCTTAATCCCCTTTCAACAGCTGGTAATGCACACTGATCAGAAACTGCTGCCTTTTGCTGGGGTCCTCTGCTCAGGAGAGATTCTGAGAACTTTAGGATATATGAAGGTGACCCCATGCTTTGGGAAATGGCTATTTCAATACTAATTGTGATCATGAGTAAAAAAATAGACTGTAGAGTCCAGATCTGGAATGAAATCTGTATCTACAGCATTTATAATTAGAATTTAAGAGTCTACAATAATTTCTAAAGGGAGTTTCTGTAGATAACACACTACTGTACTAAGACATCAGTCATATTTAATGACTTTTTCATCGCCTCTAAACAAAACAGCAGTATTAAAAATTCAAGCTCAGTTGTGACTTGAAAGTTAAATGGCAGAGAGTGGGTATTCTGTAGGAAGTAATGACATGGAAACATTTCATCCTACCCCAGCAGTTGTTTGAAACTGGTAATCATTGCAGTTCACTGCAAATTCAGACTTCTCTGGCCTCCCAGAGTCCCTCTCAGTTTTGTTTTCGTGACAGTAAGTTAACGAATTTTCCACTTAGATATTTCAGAGGATTTACACATTTTTTATATGACAGAGAGCACAGATGTTGTCATTGCAGAAGCCTCTGAAGTTTTGAACTGCTATGAGATGAAAAACTAAGCTGTGGTGAATTTCATACAATTGAAGTCTTCCTCCTTTCCTGCAGCTGACAGGTAAACGTGTTAGCAGTGCTTAAGCAGGAAGTAACTAGGCCTCCCAGGGGAGGACTTTAGTACCAATGCCTTTTCTATGAGACTGCAATTGCAGCAGTCCTACCATAATGAAAATAAGACATTAGAAAAGTTAGAAATGAGCCTGTTCAGGTGATAGCATTCAGTAGTGGTTTGCCTGATTGATTGATCTTCAGAGTTAAATTTGTTTCAGAAGAATTAAACTTCTTCTGTTACCACACAAGTGACTCTTTGCACCAGTGTAACTTATTTTCTAGAGGGGAGATTTGGAGGGTACAAATTGATGCTCAAGAGTCAGTTGAGAATTTGAGATACACTTCTCCTTTAGAACTGGACAGTCATTCTAGAAGTGTGGGTACCAGTAGCTTCAAAACACCCAACTGCTGCTAGCAGGTGATGGTTTGCAGTGTGTGATCTTGGGAAACATGGAGAATGATCCATTCCTCTGCAGTAGCTGAACAGGTCGGGGGGGGGGGGGGGGGGGGGGAAGAAAACTTCTGCTATAGCAGACCCTGGTCCAGAAATAGTTCTAGCAAATTAGTTTAGAAATGGCCCTTTGGCTTGCTAAGGGATTAGAAGAGAAGAAGCCACAATCTGCTGCTGCTGTTACGGGAAAGGAGAAAAGGAGGCAGCTTTTCACTATCAAACTGCACGTGTGGGACTGGAACTGAGCACTGGAGCTCTAAGGGACTGGAGGCTATGAGCTCATGAGCAAACTACCACTGGGTGAGTTGGGTACCTGGATTCACACTGGATGGCCCCAAGTGCCTGTCTGTGCACACTCACTTGCTGGTGTGAGGAAGCGGTATGGCCTCCTTCCACTGTGGAGTACATTGCCTTTGAATAAGCTTGTATTTACCAGAGGGTCAGTACCATGCCTTTGCACAGGCATGTAACACAGAAGAGCTGATGCATGATAAAAAGGGTATTTGTTCACATACAGGTCCAGCATGAAGTTCTCTAATGCTTCCACTGAGATTCTGCTCCACTGTGGGAACACTGAGAGCTTGTGTATTTCACAGCACAGTAAGGTATGCTGGCCCAGAGCACTTCGGTGCTGCACAGCTAACTTCTGGCACCAAGGTCTTTAAACTCACTAGTTAGATGCAGCAATTCTTGCTGCTGTAGCTGCTGCATTCCTATGTGAATCCAGCAGTAGGACTTACTTCTCTCCCTCAGCTTTGTCAGTGACTTGTTTTATTGGCCTTGGACAACTAGGCCTCAGTTTTGTTCCCATTTTACAGATGGGAATAGTACCTACTTACCTCACAGGACCGGTGTGAGGCTGTCCTTCATTATTGCTTGCAAGATGCTGTGAGATTCATTTGGAGGAAGGTGCAATATAGAAAGAAATGCACAACGAGATACATCAGCTAAGTTTAAAAAGGATGGGTGTTGGGGCCCCACAAGGGTAGAAATTTGGATGAAATTTAACCAAAGTGGTAAAAATTAAATGACATCCCTGTTAAATTTGCACAGGGGGAGAAATTCGCTTAACATCTGATCCAGTTCCTACTAGAGGGAAAGGTTTCAATGAGAGCTGGACCAAACCCTTAAGTATTTGGAGGGCTCTTGCTAATTTTTTTATTGCTGTTATTATTTGTTGTTTTTAAGGTACTGAGATCAAATGGCCTGTATCATCCACATGCATCCCTTCTGAACACTACAATGCAATGCTGACCGTGGTCACTTTTGACATTGACTGTATTGGTTGAGTTTTTGTTACTCTGAAGTGTGTAAACTACTAAATAAACGAGACTGAAGGAAAAAAAGGCATCCACTGTGGTTTGGTCACAGGACAGTAGTATCTTTTCTTCGAGAACTTCCTTAGGGAAGGAACAATGACTATTTATTTTGGTGTTTCTTGTACTTTTAGTCTTTAGCATCTAATATTTCTTGAAACAAAACTGGTTCTAACACATGTAGAAGCTTGGTTCAAAACCAATGTAGGTACATTTGCTTTAGAACCCACTCTACACAAAGCTGGACAGCTTCCTTTGGGGTAAGCTCTCTCTCAAAAATCTCAGTTCACAGCCTGCAGTATATCAAGACATCATGCATCAGCAGGCACTTGCCAGACTCATAGCAGTCACCAGTTCCATGGTGTAGTTTTTGGTGGCAGCAGGGAAGAAGCAGTTAACCCTGCAGGACTGGCAGCACTTCTGAGCAAGGGAGGGTGCCTTCTTACCTGTGTATGAAGAGTACTTAGCAGAGAGGGGAAACAAACAGCCACCATGAGTGTCTCTTTATTTTGTGTTGCAAATATAGAAGTATACACTTGTCCAGCTTTCAATTGCATAGAAGCAGGCATGCCATCTACTTATGTACAGTAGTCACCCAGACAGGCATGTTGGTGAGAAGTGCTGCCATGGTCAGAGGTAATGACAAATCGGAACCAGTTCAACTAAACGAAGAAGTCATGAGATGAGAAGATGTTAGGGATGTCGTGCCTAAGATGTCATTTCCTGGAAATGGCAGGAACTTGGAGGGTTGATGAAGAGAAAGCATGACTGTGTCTACAGGATCAGCTCTCACATTGCTCTGCTGCTCGAGGCTCTGAGGAGTGTGGTCTCTGGCTGACACAGCAATGGAGCTGCAGCTCCTAGCAGTAGCGTTTTCTTCTCTTTCAGGTAAGTAGGGGGTGGGTATTGGAGGTGGAATAAGTTACACTTGCAAAAGCCCATAACTATTCCATTAGACTTGCAAAGCTTTCTCAGTACATGCCTGCCCTCTTGCAACTCAGTGGGGAGTTTACTGCAGGAAAGGGGTTGGTATGAGGAGACTTAAATCTGTGCACTTAAAAGTTGTTTCTTTAAAGGGCAAATGAAGATACAAACATGTAAGTTGAGGAGAGAAAAGGCAACAGATCAGAAGCAAGAATATCAATGGGTGTGAAAGACAAATTGAAAGTTGTAGTATTATGTCATCATTTGTTATTCAGTCCCTTCTTTAAAGTGTAGGTATGAGCTTGTATGAAGCCACATAAATGCTGAGTCCAGAAAAAACCCAAAACAACTCTATGCACACAATCTAAAACCAAGCTGGTAACATGTTAAAAGGCAGACCACCCATCAGGAAGAGCAATCTGTAGTAATCCTATAAATGGCTGGTTCTGCAGTGGGGAAGTGTTGGAAGACTTCACATGGATTACAGATAATCCCAGATATCCCACTTGTGGTATTCTGGTAGGAAACAAAATCAGGTTTCAGCTTTCAGCTGCCAAAAAAAATCTAATTTTGACAGTATGGGTTCAACACATTGATTATGCACTGAAAGTGTCTTCTTGGAACACAGCTTCAAGTCATATTTTGAAATAGTAGCGATTGAGCACTGGGAAATTGTGGCTGCATGAACAGCAAGTCTCGGTCTCAGAACTGAGGGTTGTCATTTTGATTGTTATTTTAGGTAATACGGTTTGGGCAGCATGGAGCATTCAGCATCACAACAGGAGCAATACTGGCATTATTTCACAGTATCACAGGATGCTAGAGATTGGAAGGGACCTCAAAAGATCATCTAGTCCAATCCCCCTGCCGGAGCAGGAACACCTAGATAATGTTACACAGGAATGTGTCCAGGAGGGTTTTGAATGTCTCCAGGGAAGGAGACTCCACAACCTCCCTGGGCAGCCTGTTCCAGTGTTCCGTCACCCTCACTGAGAGGAAGTTTCTTCTTAAGTTTAAGTGGAACCTCTTTGTACCCATTACCCCTTGTCCTATCATTGTTTGCCACTGAGTAGAGCCTGGCTCCATCCTCGTGACACTCCCCCTTTATATATTTATAGACACTTATAAGGTCACCCCTCAGTCTCCTCTTCTCCAAACTATAGAGACCCAGCTCCCTCAGTCTTTCCTCATAAGGGAGATGCTCCACTCCCTTAATCATCTTCGTTGCCCTGCGCTGGACTCTCTCCAGCAGGTCCCTGTCCTTCTTGAACTGAGGGGCCCAGAACTGGACACAATATTCCAGATGCGGTCTCACCAGGGCAGAGTAGCAGGGAAGGAGGACCTCTCTCGACCTACTAACCACCGCCCTTCTAATACACCCCAGGATGCCATTGGCCTTCTTAGCCACAAGGGCACAGTGTTGGCTCATGGTCATCCTGTCACCCACTAGGACCCCCAGGTCCCTCTCCCCTACACTGCTCTCTAACAGGTCGTTCCCCAACCTATACTGGAACCTGGGGCTGTTCCTGCCCAGATGCAGGACTCTACACTTTCCCTTGTTATATTTCATCAAGTTACTCCCTGCCCAACTCTCCAGCCTATCCAGGTCTCGCTGGATGGCAGCACAGCCTTCTGGTGTGTCAGCCACTCCTCCCAGCTTAGTGTCATCAGCAAACTTGCTGATAGTACACTCAATTCCCACATCTAAATCATTGATGAATATATTAAATAATACCGGTCCCAGTACTGACCCTTGAGGCACTCCACTAGTTACAGGCCTCCAACTAGACTCAGCCCCATAGACTACAACTCTCTGGCTTCTCTCCTTCAGCCAGTTCACAGTCCACCTCACTACCTGATCATCCAGTCCACACTTCCTCAATTTAGCTGTGAGGATGCTGTGGGAGACTGTGTCAAATGCTTTGCTGAGGTCAAGGTAGACCACATCCACCGCTCTGCCATCATCCATCCACCGTGTTATTTCCTCATAAAAGGCTAAGAGATTGGTCAAACATTATTTCCCCCTGGTGAAGCCATGTTGACTGCCCCTCATAACCCTCTTATCCTTGATATGCCTTAAGATGGCACCAAGGATAAGGTGTTCCATCACTTTCCCAGGGATGGAGGTGAGGCTGACCGGTCTGTAGTTACCCGGGTCCTCCTTCTTGCCCTTTTTGAAGACTGGAGTGACATTTGCTTTCCTCCAGTCCTCAGGCACCTCTCCCGTTTCCCAAGACTTGGTAAAGATGATGGAGAGTGGTCTAGCAATGACTTCCGCCAGTTCCCTCAGCACCAGCGGGAGCATCCCATCTGGACCCATGGGTTTATGGATGTCCAGATTGCTCAGCTGGTCTCTAACCCATTCCTCATCGACTAAGGCAAACCGCTCCGTCGACCTGACTTCATCTAAGGTCTCAGGGGTACAGGGCTCTTCAGGACTGCCTGCAGCAGAGTAGACAGAGACAAAGAAGGCATTCAGTAACTCTGCCATCTCTGTATCCTCTGTCACCAGGGCACCCATCGCGTTCATCAGTGGGCCTACATTGTCTCTGGTGTTAGTTTTATCTGCCATGTATTGGAAAAGCTCTTTCTGCTGTCCTTGACCCCTCTTGCCAGGTTTAATTCTAAGGAGGCCTTAGTCATCCTAGC